CTTTTTTTTAAAAAAAAAAAAAGAAAAAAAATTAATGAGAAGCCAAACTCTAAATTGTACTCGGACTCTGCCAAGTACACGGTGTGGCCAGTTCTATAAAGAACTGTTGATTTGATGTGGTTGTATTGTTTTACTTTTTTTTAATATATTTGGAAACTACACAGAAAAAAGCCTGTTGAAGAAATTTGAGACTGACAAACACAAAATAACTGATAGTTGCTGCATGGTCTCAAAGGATTGAGTGTGGATGTCAGTCCCTAACAAAGACCGTGTGCTAGGAAGCTGAGTTCCAGATGCTGTTTGCCACGGCGTGCTTTGGTTGCTTGCTTTGATTTACCATTTACAGTGGAGGGGTTTTACTGTTGCTCATTTTTTTATAAAGTTTTTTAGCAAAGCTCTTTTTTTTGGATGCTACAAATTAAAAATTGACTTTTATATTATGTCAAATAAGTAGTTAGATTGTAGTCTTTGTATTTAATAGCTTGGAATAATTTATTCTGAATTATTGAGAACTGTGGAGATCGCTGCTGAGCACTGAACTGGCATTCCACAGAGCCGGATATTGTGACATTTATTCCTACCCTTTTGTTTCTTAAATTTCAGTTAATTTTTTTCTAGTTCAGGATTTTTCTTTTTATCCCAAGCAGATTACTTTCTCCCTTAGGAAGGAGTCTTGTTATGTGCCTTTTGGTGTCAACCAGACTACATGTGTGTGTGCACGCATGCACTGAAGCACGGGAAGAACTCAGTAGGTTTGTGAAGTGGGATTGCATTCACAACGGCAGTGTTCACTTTTCCCCAATTACTTGCTCACGTGCCTCTTGACCCTGTTCTAATACTGCCAGCTTACCTGGTGCATGTATAAGGCACTGAGATTTTCCAATTAAATGTTAACATTTTAGTCTTTGTCTTTTAATTTTTGTATTGTCTTTTTTTTTTCTAGGCAAGCTGTGGAGTCGAAGCTTGAAGTTAGCGTATACCCTGCTAAATAAGCTAACCACTAAGAACGAACCACTGCTGAAGTCTGGAGACCGGGTAGGCTCCTGTTCGAAGTGATCTCTGTGGATCAGATAGTGAGGAACAGTTTTAGCAAAAAAAAGCCTTCTAATACTATATTATCATAACATTTAGTATTTCTGTTCCTAGTTTAAATATGAACCTGAATGTTGCTGTGAAGATTTTTTTTTCCACAAATTAAAAAGCAGTCCTCCCGCATAAACGACGACAAAAAATATTTCTTGTTCTTTTAACATATTTTTGTAGGTAGCTCTCGTATTTCCTAATAGCGATCCAGTTATGTTTATGGTGGCATTTTATGGATGTCTCCTGGCAGAACTTATTCCTGTCCCAATAGAAGTTCCACTAACAAGAAAGGTAGGCAAATACATTCAACGTTTTTATGGCTTCATAAGTAAATAAGGGATGGGGGGAATCTAAATCCTGTAGTCTTTATGTGCGACCCCTGAAAGCCTACACTTTTGCAAGTAGTGTGGTGCATCAGCTGAAGTACTAAGTGTGCATTATGTGTTTGGAAGGTGTTTAACATTTAGTTAGGGAAGGGGGGAAATAGCATGAAGCTAATAAATTAGCTATTTTGGGATATGTAACTGTAGAAATTACTTTAATTCATTATTTTTGAAAATATGTATGAAGTTATTTCTTAAAATATAACACAGAAATGCTGTCTTTTCAGCTCTCACACTGAGTAATGAGAGCACAGGCAGGTGGACACACACATAGGTATTGGTAGTACGAGCATGATCCCACACACATTGAGATTATTAGGGAAGGTGTGCAATCACAGCTGAAAAGCTACAAGCTCTACTCTTCAGTGCCTCAGAAACAGCATCAGACCAGCTCTCTGTTTTACCAGAACTTATAAACGGCCGTGTTGGGTTGGAGAAGGATGCACAGCCATTGCTTTTGACACTACTTGCTACCATTGCTTGCCAGATCTACTGCCGAATCCATCTTAGTTAGCACTAAGCAAAAACTAAGCCTTTTGAGCATAGACTTCAGTCTCTTGTCTTCCATAAAAGGTCTTATGGGATAGATGTTTGGTTTTTCCTGTGATATAGATTGGCTTAAATTTTCCAAACCTGGAAAAGTTACAGTAAACTATACAAAAGCTTCCTTGTTTGTAAGCTTGCTGTAACACGGTTTCTCTGTAGGATGCTGGCAGCCAGCAGATTGGATTTCTTTTGGGCAGCTGTGGAGTAACGCTGGCTTTAACCACCGATGCCTGTCAGAAAGGCCTTCCTAAAGCTCAGACTGGTGAGGTGGTTACATTCAAAGGTATGTTTTTTAAGCAACTCAAATTTCTTTATAGGATAAAAAGTGGGTATATCCATTGCTGTTATTAGACAGGAACCTTTGAGTTTGCTTGCATGCTTCTAGCTTAAATATAAACAACAACTGCCTTCGTTGTCACGACAGTATTTAGCGCTGCTTCTTCCTGTCAGGGAGGTGATGCTGCAGCTTTTGCTTCCCTTCTGTTGTTATCTCTGTACTGGGGAAAAAAAGCTGGTTTTGGAACTGTAATGGCAGTAACTTTTCTTTTTCTTTGAAGGCTGGCCTCGTCTCATTTGGTTTGTGATTGATGGGAAGCATCTGGCAAAACCAACTAAGGACTGGCATCCACAAGTACGGGATGCCAGTGCTGAGATTGCTTATATTGAGGTGATCCAATATAATATGCCTAATTTACAGTTACCCTGTTGCAGTTTATGTCACAGCATGTTTTCTTCTCTTAATCTCGTGGTGCAATAAAAGAGATGACTATAATATTTAACTGTGTCCTGGTTTCAACTGGGACAGTTCTATTTTTAGTAGCTAGAATAGTGCTGTGTTTTGGATTTAGTATGAGAAGAACATCAATAACACACTGGTGTTTACAGTTGTTGCTAAGATCTTAAGGACTTTTCAGCTTCTCATATTTTGCCAGGTGCCACAACAAGCTGGGGGGAAGCACAGCCGGAGCAAAGGACCTGCCACTCCTGGCTTTATGATTTGAGCTTAGATTAGGGTTGAGGCAACGTCATACCCAGTACATAGATGAGAGTTAGCCGGGAAGTTTCTCTCTCGCCCACTTGGGATCTCTTTCTCTCCCTTCAGATCTCTCTTTGGGGCTCTTGCTCTTTTAGGATGGCAGTTTCAGGACTTGAACAAAAATGTTTCCCTCAAGGTTGCCAGGTGAACTGTCATTTGAGTGGTTGTGCTGAGTCAGATTGAAGATTGGGGATAATTGGCATTTTTGCATCCTGGGGGCAATTTGTTTAATTGGATTAGAGAAACAGTCACATTTCTTATTATATTAGTGTATTCTCTCAACAGAAATGTGTCTTTTATGCTAGCTTTTTTAATATTTTTTTTTTAAAGTTCACTTCATTTTTGTAGTAAAATATCCTTTCAGTTCACTACTGTAAATCTTCTAGCTTTTGTTGTTAAACTAATGCTTGTGTAAACTTTCTCTTTTTCAGTACAAAACAAGTAAAGAGGGCAGCACAGTGGGCATTACTATATCTCACGCTTCCATGCTGGCACACTGTCATGCATTGACTCAGGCATGTGGTTATTCAGAAGGTAAGCAGGATAGGTACAACTTCAAAATGATACTCATAGCTTTGAATGTTCAGACAATTTATGTTGCAAAATCACGTTTACTGTCTTAAAAGTACTTTAGATAAGCTGTTGTAGCTTTAACTGCAAAGGGAAAGACAAAATTCCTCATTCATAATTGGTGTGATATGTGAAGGAAAGTAAGAAGCCACTTGTGAAAGTATAATTAATGTGTATTAGATTTTTTTTAACCTAAGATCCTTATTAATTTTATTAAAGGGTTTGGGTTTTTCAGTCTTCATAAATGTTTTAGTCAGTGGTAAGAGCTAAACTGATTTTTCATCCTTCTGGAAACAGCTTTGCTACAAATCTGTTTTACCCTCCCTAATGCGTTTTGAACGCACTGGCCACTCTATGAAGTCATAAGGCAGCCGGTTTGAGATGGCCACATGCAGAGTCAGAGGAGCCCTTAGAGCAGAAATTGAGAGAGAGTTCTTAGACTGAGCCTAGAGGCCATTATGTTTAGCTTGGATCTCTTCGAAGAGCTTTGGATGCTGCCCGTTCCAGTTGTAGCTGCTCTAACAGTGCAGACTGGTGTGCCATGTGGGCGCACTGGTGTCAGTTATGCAGCTTCTTATCTCTCAGGAGAAGGAGTTGCAGTTATTGACCAAAAAGAAGGCCCTTTGAAGTCTTGACTTGAAACCCAGTAATGACTAAGTGAAATGTTATATGCATCATAGTCCTTACAACTCTTCTACTTCGTGATTCCTAGGAATGTGACACTTGACCTTTGAAAGAAAGGCTTGATCAAGAAAGTCTGAGAGTTAACATATTAAAAAACACCCCAACTTGCTTGCCTTTACTGCTCTTGTACCTTTGATGACTCTGCCTGCCTAGATCTCAAAGTTCAAAGTCCTAGTGCAAGTTTTTTGGCCCAGTTAAGTGAACTACGTCTGTGATTCTAGATAGCTCATTTGAGGGCATGAGCAGATTGCTAATAGTTGCTAACCGTCCTCTTTTGCACTTTTTTTTCCTCCTGTCCTGTTTTCAGCAATTGGCTTATCCTTGTAGTCCTCCAAAGTCCATACAAGTAGTACGATAGGGTAAAAGAGATTTTCACAGTCAGATATCTGTACTTTTTTTAGTTATCATCTAAGACCCTCTCCCGTTTTCATATCGGAACACTGTTCCATCACAGCTGCCAACTAAAAGAACTGCGCTGGGAGTGCGAACGGTGCAGCCAGCTTGTAGGTAAAGGATTGCACAGCGATTCCTGAATCCTGAAAGGATGATGGCAACCAGTTATGGATCAATGGGGTCTACATATCTTAATTTTCAGATGAATATGGAGTAGTGTTGCTAGCTGTTAACGTTTCAGCCCTTCACAGAGGATACTGAATTCTCTTGTCCTCTTGTATGTTCATTTTTCAAATTTCTATTGGCACGTGCTAGAGATGCTGTCACAAGATATTCTGGTTTCGCTGGGATAGAATCATAGAATCAGATTTCTGTTCAGAAAAGCTACGTTTCTGAAGTAAGCTGCATTTTTAAGAAGACTGCAGCACCTGATTCAGGGAGAATAAAGCTGATAAGACACTTTGTTTTAATTTGTAGCCAGCTGTGGTATACAGGCATCTATAGTGATCAAGGACTTTTCGGTTTTGCTAACGACCCAGATATCCAAGAACCTGGGGGGAGCGTGGCCAGGGCAATTGACGGTTAAATTGGCAGTTGGGTATTCCATACCTTGCAACATCATGCTCACTGTAGATTGGAAAGTTTGTTGGGCACGGTCTTTCTCAATGATTGCCATCCCTGGAGGGTCTCACCTGTCATTCTGCTCCCGAGGCCTGCACTCTTCTGGGATTGCAGTTTGGGGATTTTCCTGCTCTGGGATGGTGAGCAATTACACCATGCATTATTTGTCTGTATACATTATTATCATTATTATTTTCCATTTTATTTCATTTCAATTATTAAATAATTTTTATCTCAACTCATGGGTCTTCCTTTCTTTTCCTGACTCCTCAAATGGGGAGGGGTCATTGGGTAACAGAACAGCTGGCTAGTGTTTAGCCCCGGATATGAGCTAAATGTAGACACAAGGTTTGTGTTCTGTATGGACCATACCCAGTATAAAGCTTTGCCTTCTGTTTTGTGTGTACCTTCTTGCAGCTTCACAATTTTGGCCACAGTAGTTCCTATTTTCAGAAAGGAAGGGATCTTCCTCTTAGTTAAGCATGTCATACAAAACAACATCTCCCTAGGGATTTGGATAAAGTGAGAGATTTACTTGTTTTCAGTCATTCTCTCAAAAAATATCAAAGAACTGCACCTGGCTTTGACCATATGCAGAGTTCATCTGTGCCACCATTAACCAAAAACTTTTTCCTTTGAAATCTATTTGCTGGAAGAATCTCGTGATTTGACTGGTTTTTATCCCATAATACGGTAGTATGTGCTAAAGTATCTTGGGACACACAGAATCGTAGAATGGCTGAGGTTGGAAGGGACCTCTGGAGGTCATCTGGTCCAATACCTCAGCTCAAGCAGGGCCACCCAGAGCCAGTCCCCCAGGACCATGTCCAGACAGCTTTCAGTATCTCTGAGGATGGAAACTCCACTATCTGGGCAACTTTTGCCACTGCTCGGTCACCCCTGCATAAAGTTTTTCCAAATGCACCAATTCCCAGATCGTCTTTGGCCCTTTACTGGACTCGCTTCCGTAGCTTCATCTCTCTTTTCTACTTCAGCCAGTTTTCAGTCCTCCTCCCTGTCTGCTCATCGAGCCCATACTTCTTCAGTTTTTCTATGAGGATCATACAGAGTCTGTCATAAGATGCTGTGAAACTGCTGACTGCTTTCTCCAGCAGCTCCAGTTCCATGCAGTTCACTTTTCCTGAAGGTTGAAAAGAATTGAGAGTATGTAAGATTTGCATTTCCTTATGTACGGACTATGTGTCTCAGTGATTGGAGCTCTCAGTCACTCAGAGAATGATATGTGGCTGACTTACTGAAGTATTTTATTTACTGGGACATAGCTGTGTACATTCTGAAAACTTAAACACCTCGAAGAATAATTTCTTGTGCGTGCAGCCATCCTACATCAGTGATAAGCAAGTTTGCCTGATCAATATAAGATGTCCATCTAAAATCAGGTTTAATCTTTGATTTCAGATCTTTGATTCTATTTTTTTAAATCACATAAAGTGTTCAGATTTCTCAGAGAAGACGTTGAAGAGCGTTTAGTACAGCCATGATAATATTTCTCACTAAATTTAGTTCTTTCAAATATAGCTGAACTTTTTCAGTTCAGCTGCAAAAGTTTGCATCAAAATTAAAGTTTGTCTGCGTAGTTCATTGGCAAATGTAACAAACACATGGAAGTGGTATTGTAATGAAAACAGAGTCTTAAATACCATGTAATAATCTAGTCTATAATAATAATTTGAAGGTCATCGTTGTAAGTAAAATAAGACACTTTAAGCTTAAGCAGCCTGTTTGTTATAGACAAGAAGGCATAGCAACATGGCTTGGATTTCTTAGTGGTGTTGGAAGCTTCATAGTTGCTTTAGCAAATATTTTGAGTTCTTAAATATTCTCATAAATATGCTTCTTAAGTCTGATAGTTTTGCCTTCACTTTCAGCTGAAACATTAACAAATGTCTTGGATTTCAAAAGAGATGCAGGCCTTTGGCATGGTGTATTAACAGTGAGTATTTGAATGAATGAAATAGAACTGCAGCAAATTGCTTCTCTCAGGGGTAGAGGATTGGTTATCAGAATGAGGTCATAAATTCTCTCAAACGATTTGTATTTCAATACTTATCTTTTCCAGGATAAAGTGTTACTTTTTCAGTAACAGACTGCACAGACATAGCTTATGTTTTTACTGACTATACACATAGTTTTCACTAGCAGTTAAATTTAAGAGTTGTGCTGTAGCTGTGATGGTTTGGTTTTGTTTTTTAAGTATCGGTACATGCTGTGTATTCTTTGAGCCATTTAAAGTTTATTTTTTCAACATTTTTCTCATAGAGTGTTATGAACAGGATGCATGTCATCAGTATTCCCTATGCATTAATGAAGGTTAATCCTCTTTCCTGGATACAGAAAGTCTGCTCGTACAAAGGTAACCTTAAAGTATTTTTACTAAACCCATCTCTTTTTGGATGATTTAAAAGAAAAAAAAAAATTATTTGTATAAAATATCTGCTCTAGCTGAAGGCACTGCTGTTTTGTTCAGCTGAACTTCTTTGCCACAGCTTTAGCAACTGGGTACTTCATTTCAGTATTGTATGTACTGATAGATTCATTGATGAGAGGCGTTGATGGCTTCTTCTATTGGATCTGTTTAAAGAAACTGTTTGTCATCTCAGTATTTGAATTTATAGTAAACACTTAAATTCTGTAATCAAGTCCATCTGGAGACAGATGTGAGTATACATGTGTCATAGTTAAATATTTGGCATTTGTATTTGTTTTCTAGGTTTGTAATTTGTTCCATGGATTTACATAAATGTACAGAAATATTTATATAATTTTATAATTTGTCTTTATTTTGTTCTACACACACACCATAATTATTTTTTTATTTTCAGCCCATGTAGCGGTAGTAAAATCACGTGATATGCACTGGTCACTTTTGGCTCAGAGGGATCAGAGAGATGTCAGTCTGAGCTCTTTACGAATGTTAATAGTGGCAGATGGAGCTAATCCATGTGAGTATGGGTGCATTTTCTGAGTGTCAGTCCAAGGTGAACTAAAGCACACTAAATCACAGGACTCTGGGTCTGCACTGTAGGAGCTCAGCAGCACTGGCTATCGTTCATCTTCAGCAGAACAGACACAGCAGCAGTATTTCTTTGCCAAGGACACTGGAGCAAAACTTGCATAGAAAATGTTCTGAAGGATCTATTCTTTATATAAAGAATAGTTGGCAATGTAATTTGAAAGAGATTTTTTAAATTTTAAGTAAATCATAACGCCAGTTTCAAAGTAGTTGCTCATGTATTGCATGTAGACATAAAATCTTTGAGTTGCAGTGTGTCTGATTCTGTACGTGCCCCTAGGACTTATCTCAGTCATGTGCAAGGACATAAAAATGGGAGCAGCCACAGCCTTAACTCAAAACCATGACAACTGTTAACTAGAGTATGTGATAGGTTCTTGCCTTTTTCTGTTAGTCGTATGATGGTGGTTTACAGTAATTCGAGAAAGCAACTGGGAGGCTTTTTTTGCAAAAGGCAAGAATATACCTTAGTTGCTTAATTTTGCTGTTCTCATACACCAGAAAATCAAAAGTATTTCAAATTCCTTGGGGTTGCATGATGAGAGGTCAGCAAGTCGTGATGGTGGAAGATGAAAGCTTGAAATGGTCTTGCTAAGACTATATTTCTTGTAACCACTGCTTCAGAGCTTATGCTTAGAAAGTTAGGCAGTTTGTTCTATAGTAAAATACTATTCGTATGCTAGGGATGCCACTGCTTTTTCATTGCTGTCTGCATTTCTTAGCTATATTTAGCTGCATAAATTCATTTTTTAACTTTATCTTCGTCAGTGCTGTGCTCTTATATGAATTGACATGGAATTATACCTAGGATGTAGTACAATCAGTGAAGTTTGCTGGTTTGAGATACGTGCTGCAATTCCACAGCTGTAAAATACAAAGCTTTAGGTCATGAGATATCCTCTTGCATTTTGGGCTGAGTAGGTAGAGTTCTGAACTGAAGTGAAGATATGTCAGAAGCATTTAATGTTAATTTCCAAATGCTTTGGTTCTGACTTGCGTAAGAAACACTCATATAGGAGCTATATAGGAAGCTGACAGATACAGTTACACTTAGTGACAAAGTATTCTGATCACTGGAGGACTTTCCATTATGTTTCTCACTGCCAGAGAGAGTATGCAGTTGTGAATTTCATTTGGTGTATTAGTTGTTAACCACTGGGATTTTTTTCTCCAAATCTAACGTCTAATAATAGGCTGGTGTGTCTTTTAAACAGTTTGAAAGTATATTGATTTTGTGCATGGATGCAGCCATATTTGTATAGCTGAGCTGAGAGTAAGCATGGGCATTTGAAATCCTGCAGCTCAAGCTTTCCTGCCCATGGCAAAGTTTTTCCAGTTGTGTGATTGTTCTTTTTCAGGGTCAATATCTTCCTGTGATGCATTCCTGAATGTATTTCAATCCAGAGGTTTGAGACCAGAAGTAATCTGTCCCTGTGCTAGTTCCTCAGAGGCACTGACTGTTGCTATTCGCAGGTAATTCTCTTTTCTGAGAAGTGAACTGAAGCATTTATTGACTATCAAGATGTATCTGATGTTAAAACCGTAGTCAGAAAAGACTATTACCCACATAAAGCTGCCCAAAGACCTAGACAGAGGAAGTCTGAGGCTCACAGGTATCTTCTTCACTGAAGGATGGAAGATTTTTGTTTGTTTTCTTTAAAAAGTTTAATATTTTTTAAAAGTAGTCAGCCATATGGGTTTGGTTTTTGTACTGCTTGGGAAAGCAAGGTCTCATCCTCACTGATGTTGCTGGAGAACCTTTATAAAATGCCTCAAAAATCAATTGCTTACGTACTATGTCTTGTAAGCAGGAGGCTGAAGGAAGAAAAAATATTTGTAACTGGCCTGAAAAATACCATTAAATTTCTGGAGATAGCAAAGGATGCTCTGAAAAAAGGAAATACTTAGATTTTGAGTAGACATATGGATGGCATATACTGGAATTTTTTGGCAGAGTTTGATCAAAATATGCTTTTTTGGAAAATCAATTCCAAGAAAACTTGAAACAAAAAATTTTGAGATTTTGGAGAGTACTTTCTCTGGTGGGAGAACTGACATTTCCCAACTTAAAAAAAAATAAAGAGTATTTTTTACAACAGCACCTGGAATCTTTTGTTCTATTCCATTCTGAAAGTTGAACATTTACACAAATGGGAATTGTTGGTCCTCAGTCAATTCTGCTGAATAAGAAGTGTCTCCACAAGAAGAAGCCCTCCAAACACTTTCTAATTTTTACTGGTCTTTAGAAAATTTAGCCTTCTAATGCTGATTCTTGACACTTGTTTGCCCATAATAGAACTACATCCTCTCTGTAACATTTTAGAGTGCAAGGAAGCTACGTGATGTTTTGTTCTAGCTCTTTTTTTGCCTAGTTAGAATGTATTACCAGTCTTGAACTCTTGTTTGTTTAAAATGAGAAACCATAATTTTTCATAACCTTAACAAGCCTGAGAGACTTGCACGGTGTTTTTTATGACTGATGACTGTATTGCCATTGGTCTGTTGATTCATATCTGATTTGACTTTATGTTTTTCAGACCTCCAGAACTGGGTGGGCCTCCTCCCGGAAAAGCAGTGTTATCTATGAATTGCCTGAGTTTCGGTGTGATAAGAGTGGATACAGAAGAGAAGTTGTCGGTGTTAACTGTACAGGATGTTGGTCAGATTATGCCTGGAGGTAGGAAGGCATTTCATGTACGTTTAAACATGCTCCACATGAGTTATCTTTACTGTCATACTTGTGCTGATGAATTAAGTGTCCAGTGATGAATACCTTCAAGGTAGTATGACTTGTATTTTGACGCATTACCTAAACACATGACAACATTGTTCAGTGTTTTCAGTAGAGATTAATCAATGGTAAATTTGAAGGACCACAGATTTTGGTATGGGCAGGTGCTTTTGGCTGGTCTGTGAGTTGTGTTAATGTTCAATCGTTAGCATTAGTGCTGACTGACATACAGCTATGTAATAATAAATACAGCAGAACAATAAAATATAAAGCATAGTAAAAAATACTGTCTTTCATCCAGGATGATAGTCCATGTGTTAGAATAGAATAAAATAGAATGGAATATTTCCGTTGGAAGGGACTTAAAATGATCATGTATTCCAACTGCCTGACTTCTTCAGGGCTGATCAAAAATTAAAGCATGTTATTAAGGGCATTGTCCAAATGCCTTTCAAACACTGGCAGGCTTGGGGCATTGACCACCTCTCTAGGAAGCCTGTTCCAGTGTTTGACCACCCTCTTGGTAAAGAAGTGTTTCCTAATGTCCAGCGTAAACGTCCCCTGGTGCGGCTTTGAACCATTTCCACGCATCCTGTCCTTGAATCCCAGGGAAAGGAGATCAGCGCCTGCCTTTCTACGTCCCCTTCTCAGGAAGCTGTAAAGAGCAATGAGGTTGCCCCTCAGCCTCCTTTTCTCCAAACTAGACAAACCCAAAGTCCTCAGTCGCTCCTCATAGGACATGCCTTCCAGCCCTGTAACCAGCTTTATTGCCCTCCTCTGGAGGTATTCACGTACCTGGGATCAGAGAGACATGCTGGTATATAGTCTCTTTAAGAACAACAGGAGAGGAGCAGACAGTACAGGTCACATAGTAGTGAGTGTCTGCTATAGATTGCCTGACCAATCGTGGAATGGTTTGGGTTGCAAGGGACCTCAAAGATCATCTCGTTCTAACCCCCCTGCCATGGGCAGTGACACCCTCCACTACACCAGGTTGCTCAAAGCCCCATGCAGCTTGGCCTTGAACACTTCCAGGGACGAGGAAGAACAAGTGCATGAGGCCTGCAAACAGCTAGAAGCAGCCTTATGTTTGTAGGCCCTGGTCCTCATGGGGGACTTCAACCACATTGATGTGTGCTGGAGTGACAACATGACAGAGCATAAGCAAGCCACGAGATTCCTGGAGAGCATCAGTGACATTTCCTGACCCAAGTGAGAGGAACCAATGACGAGAGGATCTTTACTGATGTCCTGGTTTTAGCTGGGAGAGAGTTAGCTCTTCTTTTTAACAGCTAGAAGAGCTCCGTGTTTTGGTTTTACTCAGAGGCTCGCTCTGAGAAGAATGTTGATAGCAAGCTGATGTTTGTAGTTGGAAGTGAAACTCCAAGGACTTTTCAGTGTGCCATGTCCTGGCCGGAGTGCAGAAGCACGGTGGGATAAGGGGGGAGCATAGCCAGGACAAGGGGGACACGATTCCCCTTGTGATTTGTGGTGGAACTTAAGATTGAGGGCCAAAGTGGCCAATTAGTATTCCATATCTTGCAGTGTTATGCCCAGTATGAAAGTGAGGGTCAGCCGGACAGAAGGGCTTTTGCGCTTCGGCTCTTTCGCCATTCTTGCTCTTTTGCACTTGCTGCGCTTCTGCTCTATTGCCTTTTTTCCTCTCTCTCCCAGTACTCCCACTCTCGGAGTACTCTCTCTCTCTCTCTGCCCCTCTCTATTTTGGGGCCTGGCGTTCGTCCGGGATTGCAGCTTCGGGACGAGACGGGCTGCAGATAAGAGGGGGTGGTGAGCATCTACACTGTGTATTAAACCATCTGTATTAAATTGTTCTCATCTCAACCCACAGGTTTCCCGTTTCTCCTTTAATTCTCTCCCTCATCCCTGGGGCCGGGGGAGGGTAAGTGGGCGACTGTGTAGGGGTTGGTTGCCGGAGCGGCCTAACCCACGACAGCTGAACCTCATGCTCACAAATGAGGAGCCACTTATTGGAGATGGGAAGGTTGAAGGCTACAGTGACCATGAGATAGCAGAGTTCAAGATCTAGAAAGCCTACTGTATCCTGGGCTGCATCAAAAGAAGTGTGGCCAGCAAGTTGAGGGAGGTGATTCTGCCCCTCTGCTCTGCTCTCATGAGATCCCACCCGGAATACTGCATTCAGCTCTGGTGTCCCCAACACAAGAAGGACATGGAGCTGCTGGAGCAAGTCCAGAGGAGGGCCATGAAGATGATCGAGGGCTGAAGCACCTCTCCTGTGAAGGCAGGCTGAGAGAGTTGGGGCTGTTCAGCCTGGAGAAGACAAGGCTCCAGGGTCATCTTATAGCAGCCTTCCAGTACTTAAAGGGGGCCTACAGGAAAGCTGGAGAGGGACTTTTTACAAGAGCAGACATGGAGCTGCTGGAGCAAGTCCAGAGGAGGGCCATGAAGATGATCGAGGGCTGAAGCACCTCTCCTGTGAAGGCAGGCTGAGAGAGTTGGGGCTGTTCAGCCTGGAGAAGACAAGGCTCCAGGGTCATCTTATAGCAGCCTTCCAGTACTTAAAGGGGGCCTACAGGAAAGCTGGAGAGGGACTTTTTACAAGAGCATGTAGTGATAGGACATGGGGCAATGGCTTTAAACTGAAAGAGGGGAGATTTTGATTAGATAGAAGGAAGAAATTTTTCACTCTGAGGGTGGTGAGGCACTGGAACAAGTTGCCCAGAGAAGCTGCAGATGCCCCATCCCTGGAAGTGTTCAAGGCCAGGTTGGATGAGGCTTTGGGCAACCTGGTGTAGTGGAGCGTGTCCCTGCCCATGGCAGGGGAGTTGGAACTACATGATTTTTGAGGTCCCTTCCAACCCAAACCATTCTATGATTCTATGACAGAGCAGGACAAAAGCAAGATCACAACACTGCACTTCAGGAGAGCAGGCTTCAGCCTCTTCAGGGAACTGCCTTGTAGAGTGCCAGGGGATAAGGCCTTGGCAGGGAGAGGGGCCCAAGAAAGCTGGTTAATATTCAACGATCGCCTCCTCCAAGGTCAAGAGCAGTCCATCCCAAAGAACTGGAAGTCAGGAAAAAAATGCCAGGAGTCCTGTATGGATGAACAAGGATCTCATGGCCGAAATCATACATAATAAGGAAGTATACAGAAGGTAGAAGCAGGGGCGTAACCTGAAAGGAGCAGAGACACTATCTGAGTATGCAGAGGTGGGGCAAGGGAAGCCAAAGCCCAGCTGGAATTGATTTGAGAGGGATTTTAAAGGCAACAAGAAGGGCTTCTATAAATACATAGGTGACAAAAGGAAGACCAGGAAAAATGTGGGCCTGGTACTGAATGAGGCAGAGGACATGGAAAAGGCGGAGATACTGAATGCCTTCTTCACCTCAGTCTTTACCATCCAGGCTGGCTTTCAGAAATCACAGGCCTTGGAGACCCAGGGCAAAGTCTGGAACAAGGAAAACATACCCTTGGTAGAAGAGATGAAGTTAAGGAATACTTAAGCAAACCGCATGTGCACAGATCCATGGACCCTGATTGGATTCACCTATGAGTACTGAGAGCGCTGATTGCTGTCATTGTGAGGCCACTCTCAACAATCTTTCAATGACAATGGCGATGGGGAGAAGTTCCTGAGGACTCAAGGAAAGCAGATGTCACTTCTGTCTTTAGGAAGGTCAAGAAGGAGAACCCAGGGAACTGCAGGCTGGTCAGCCTCACCTCAAACCCTGCAAAGGTGATGGAACAACTAATTCTGAAAACCATTTTCTCAGGTACATGGAGAACAAGAAAGTAATCAGGAGTAATCAGCATGGATTAACCAAGGAGAAGTCATGCTTGACCAATCTGATCACCACCTATGATGAAGTGACTGACTTGGAAGATGAGGGAAGAGCAGTGGATATTGTCTACCTTGACTTTTGTCAGGTTTTGGACACTGTCTTCTGTTAGATCCTCATAGAAAAGCTGAAGAAGTATGGGCTTGATGAGCAGACAGGGAGGAGGACTGAAAACTGGCTGAAGGACCAGGCCCAGAGAGTGGTGACCGACAGCACGAAGTCTGGCTGGAGGCCAGTAACTGGCTGTGCAGGCTGGGACTCAGTACTGGCTCCAATTCTCTTCAGCATCTTCATTCATGATCTGGTGGAGTTCAAGATCCACGGGACGGCAAGGAAACTATACAGCAAGCTCTGTGCGCTAGACTTCAAGAAGGCGGACTTCGGCCTCTTCAAGGACCTGATGGGCAAAGTA